TTTGGGTGAATTTTCTCGGATTGTGAATGCATGCGCCAGGTCACCACTTTGCATATTGGCAGGTGGATTGACAAACACTGGACTGTTGTCATTTTCATCCAGAATTTCGATCGAAACAGTGGTGGTGGCCGTGAAGATTGGTTGGTNCCCCCACCCCCCACCCCCACTTAGGGTCTAGATTGGGGGAAGAGGTAAGTAGTCGCTTGCTCTGTTTGCGCCAGTTCTCTCACACAAAATGGCGAGTTATGGGAACTCCCAAGGCGCCCACTTAATCTTATAACCATTTTTTTTAATAGATAATGTGACCAAAAACCAGTTTGCAGGAGTTAAGGGCAATCTCTTATACGGGAAGTAAAAGACTTATTGCACAAGAGAGCATTAAGGATAGGTAAAAACATTGTTTTTTTTGAATTGCTTAAACAAGGGAACATTTACAAATATAACGCTTACCAGAAGTCATCCCAGGCACACGATTATTCAAAATCAGGTTAGCCACTACATGGCTCTGCTAGTCTATGGATCAGTGACACCGCCACCACCCAATCTTTTAAATCTGGTCTTTTCTAAGTTTTAAATGCTACTTTTAAAGATAAACCACATTGGAGGCTCTGAAAGAATTCCCCACAATTGGTGGTACTACTAAAATTCCCCGATCCCAACTATTGAACAAAATGCATAGACCAAAAATTCCCTTCTCCTATGTTTAAGGTGTGAAGCCACCTACAATTAATGATTCATGCTAACTCCTAATTTGCAAAATAATCCAGCTAAATGAGGTTATACTGAAAGAAAAATAATTCCTTTTTTGTTGCAAAATTCCAGTTTTATAAATGACTCCCATCTTTTGTAACCCGAGCATATTGAAACTAGACGTCAATGAACAAGAAACAAAAAGAAACAAGATAAATAAAACAATGAATGGTCGCACCCTCTTCCCAGATATCATTATTATTGTCATTAACTTATTCTGGCTATTATTGCAAGCCCTTTTGTGAAAGGAATGAAGAACTGAATTGTTTGCTTGAGTTGTACACAAGTTAGAACAGGAGGAGAGGCAGAAAGGATAGGGGAGTGGATTATCCTACCCCTCCCCTCCCCCCATCCCCCCATCCCCTAGTCACCATCGCTGCTAGCTATTTTAACGTGAAATTTACCACTTCGTTTGTGGGGAGAAGGATAGAGGCATGCGTTTTAATGACCATGTGGGTAGGTAGGCAGGACTGTTTTATATACAGTGGACCGAGTTTACCCGATTTATGGCTGACCGGACAGAAAAAAAACATCGTGATAAGCAAATCCCGCAGATAAATACTCCACAACCACCACCAAAAATTTGAACACACAACCTAAGAGGGGAGAAATGCCGAATTACGCTTACTTAAGGACACTGGAATCTTGATGGCTGTAACTCCACCTCAATCGATTTTAGCTTGTCTTGAGATGGGAAAGTTACATATATCCCGTACGATAAGTTTCTTTATTTCGAGGGCAAAAAAATACCTTCTCATTTGTCATTTGCAAATGAATTTAAGAAGCCCATTTATTTAAAGATGATAGGGTGTACGGATTACTCATTCCAGAACATCAATTAAAGAGCTCCGAAAATCTTAATGGTTCCTTTACCCCGATTTGGCCCTCATTTCTGTCTTTAAAAACTGCAATGTTCTGTTCTGACGGTTATGTTAGTGGAAAACTTTTTCCCACCATTTCGCCAAGCCGCCCCCCGAATTCGCAATAACAGTGAATCAACATCTGATGGCGAAAATTATAAGAAGTGTTGTCGAATGACCAAAATCTTCTTTACGGACTTGTTGCGACCAAAGAGAACATTTTCCGCCTCGTAGGACTAAGCGGTTCGAGTAGTTGTCAGCACAACAACAACTACTACTAGTGACTAGCAGTAAAGCAACGGAACACAAAAAAGCCATGCACAACTACCGTCTCATTAAATGGCTTCCTTCACGGAAATCTGAGAGGACAATAAATGGTGCTTGTACTTTCAAAAATATCAAAACGTGGACAATTTACCTCTGATGAAAATGGAATCACTGCCCGATGTTCTGTTAATGCCATGACAGGCAACATTTGCAGACAAAAATGAACATTCCACATACCTTCAAATACTTAGAGTTTATTTGAAAGCGACTTCAAATCCGGAATGCTGGGAAAGAATTATTGAAACTTGAAGGTTTGTCAATTATTAAGCACTATTTTCGTACTAACACATAGGAATAACAATTCGATCATTCAACTACTCCCAGTCTTCAAACCAGCTTAATAAATTCGAGTACAGAGCCCCCAGTAAGTCGTAAGAACAAGAAAAAAAACAAACAATATGCGAAGAAAAATGAAAAAAAGACAAGTCAAGGAGACATTTAATAAAACTTTCTTCAGCTCTGCTTTGTGGAATCATCACAGTCTATTATGCAATGCTTCCACGAAGTTTGAAATACCTTATTAACTATA